AGGCTGCCCAGTTTACCTTATGGTTGTGACTGTGGGTTCCTCTCTCCTCCCACACTCCCAAGGATCCAGGCTTGGAGTTGTGACTTTTTCTTACTTTTATCTGCATCACATTTCTCTTTTTCCATGCTTTCAGCCTAGATGCCCTTCAGCCAATGAATGGATAAAGAAAAAAATGTATATATATGGTGGGGTATTATTTAGCCATACAGAAGAATGAAATTATGTCATTTGCAGGAAATTGGATGGAACTGGATATCATCATGTTAAGCAAAATAAGACAGGTTCAGAAGGACAAATATCACATGTTTTCTCTCATATGCAGAATCTAGGCCTAAAGTACATGTGTATGTGTGTGTGTGTGTACATACATATACATATACATATACATATACATATACATATACATATACATATACATATACATATACAATGAATGTAATTGTGGGACTGTTTAGGGTGGATGAGGAGAGGGGGAAGAGGGAGACAGAATGATGTGGGGTGAATAATAATGAAGTATTTTGTGGCTATCTATGTATGCAGATGACAGAGTGAACCCCACTAAAAACTGTTAAAAATAGAGGAGCAAAGGGGATATGGAGAAGAAAGAGCAATAGAAGGTGCTGATCTGAGATCAGGCACTTGCAGGTGGTATATAGATGCTAGAGGGGGCTAATCTGATCCAAGAACAGTATGTGCATGTATGAAATGCCACAGTGAAACCCTTGTATAATTGGTTTACACTAATAAAAAAGAACTAGTACTGGTCTTAATGACAGATGAGATAGAATTAAATAGAAAAATTAGTAAATTGGAAATCAAAGAATATATGCAAACTGAAGCAGAGTGAAGTAACAGCTTGGAAAATATAAGTGTCATGGTGAAAGGCTATTGGACAGAATATATGGCTGTAATTATGTTAATTGATATGTGCAAGCAAAAAAACAACACACAAAGATATTAAGAATAGTTAAATGGCTGAGAGGTGATACTTAGGGCGTATTTTAGTCACTTTATATTTTTCTGATTTTCTAAAATTTATATGTAATTATGTTTAATAATGAAGAAAAGGATTGATTTCTCTTCCCAAAACCACCCATGTGTACCACAGCATTTCTAGAGTACATTTTAAGAAAATGCTAGCTTCTTTGCCTCATAAATGTTCCAAAAAGAAAGGGTCCTATTATCCAACAAATTTGGTAAATACTGTGTTAAAAATTATTAATAGGTATTATGTTAGTCAGCTTTCTGCTGCTGTAACAAAATACCTGAGAAATAAATTTAAAGGAGGAAAGATTTATTTTGACTCACAGTTTCAGAGATTTCAGTCAATGGTCACTTGGCCTCATTGCTGTGGCCTGAGGCAAGGCTGAACATCATGGTGGGAGCACATGGTGGAGCAAAGATGCTCACCTCACGGTCTCAGAAAAGCAGAGAGAAAAGAGGAAGGAGCCAGGGATAAAAGACAGTTTCCAAGGACATGACCCCAAGAACCCACTCTCTTCAACTAGGTCCATCTCTTATGAACCCATCAACGGACTAATCTGTTTGTGAGGTCAGAGGCCTTCTGATCCCATCACATCCTAAAAAGCCATCAGCTGGCAACCAAGTCTTTAGCATATGGCCTTTGGAGGACATTTTAGATCCAAGCCACAGCAGGCATTTTTTCCTCATTTTTAACCGTTCACTTATTTATTTACTTATTATTATTAGACCCCTTAAAGTCCTTACTTTTTTAATATGCCTTGAGAAACATGAGGTTTTTATCCTATTTGAGCAAGAAATTTTTACATCTAAGAATGTTACATTAGGCATTGGAAAATGCTTGTCCAGAGAAGATAAATCCTAAGTTCTTTTACCCAGCAAACCAGGTTCGATCTGTCACAGTACCCTCTCCTGTCTAGTTTATACTTTCCATTCTGCATACTATCCATGTCTCCACACTTTTAACATTCTGTGTCCTCTGTGTGAATTAACCCCAACCTGATTCCCCTGCCCTTTTCTACAATTATCAAACTTCTACTCATGCTTCCAGCACTTAGCAGAAATAAGGCTTCATCTGTGAAGCCTGGCTCACCAGGCTTAGAGCTTTAGCCATGCCTCCAATAGCACATTTTGCTCCTATGGAATCCATGCCTTAGAACTTGTCTTTTCTGCCCTAGATCAGAACTTACATAACTCATATCTGCATCCATTGGACTGAGCAGTGGGCTGCCCATAAGGTGGGGATCAATGAATGTTTGATGAGTGAGTTAATGAGGTCAATATCGTGGCTTATTTAGTCTTTTCTCTGACAAGACAACAAATATTTTTCAATGAATGTTGATTTCTTTCTGGTATAAAACCAATATGTGCTGATTGCAATACTGCAAAATTTTTAGATAGTGAGGGAAAGTATGACCAAGATTAAGAATCATTTTTGTCTTACTACCCAATGATATTCAGTGTTAGCATGTTAATATATATTGATATATGTGCTTTCAGGATTTTAAAATGAATGTATGCATGTGTGGTTAGTGTTCTATTGCTGTGACAGCTACCTGAGAAAAATAGCTTAAAGGAAAAAAGATGGTACATTGTTTCAGAGGTTTCATTCCATGGTCACTTGGTCTCATCACTTGAGCCTGAGATGAGGTCAGACATCATGGCAGAGAGTATATAGTGGAGCAATTTTCTCATGGTAGGCAGGAAGACAGAAGTGGAAGAGAGAATGAGGTGGGGGAGGGGAGAATTGGACAAGAAATGCCCTTCAAAGAAACATCCCAGGGACCCACTTCTTCCGATCAGGACCCACCTTCCACAGTTTCCACCATCTCTCAATAGTCTGTTGAATTACCTATTAATTCATCAATGGATTAATTCATTGATAAAGTCAGAACTCAGGATCCAAACACTTTCCACAAGCCCCATAAGCTAACAACCAAACTTTTAATACATAAGCCTCCTAGAGCTATTTCAGATTCAAACCATAACAACATGTTTTATGAAACTTAGGTTAATTTTATATAAAAATTTAAACATTGTATCATACTTTTCAGTGATATTTAATGCTACTTCAAACATGATATATAATATTGTTTGCATAGTATTTCATAAGGTTGATAAATCATATTTATAGTTATTTGCAATTACTTCATGAACATCTTGTATATAAAACTTTGTCTGCATTTGTGATTTTTTCCCTTAAAACAGTCTTAAGATAAAATTTCAAGACTCAACTATGTGACTATTATAAAACTTTATGATTTTTTACCTGCTTTCCATTGGTTTGTATTTTATGCAATAAATTAATATATGTAAAATATTAAAACTGCATTTGGAATATAAATGTTCAATAAATAGAGCCATAATAATTAGAATTATAACTATTTTACAAATAGATTGTATATCTATCATGTGGAAGGCCCTATTCTAGAAACAACTGTCTTCAGCAGCGAATGTGGGGGTCAGTCTCATCACATACTTATCTGCATTGAATATCACCATTTTTATAACTTTGCTGGTCTGAAAAAATGGTATGACAGTGACTCAATTCATCTTTATTATTAACAGCAGCAAACATTTTTTTCCATATGATTATGGTTAAATCACAACATTGAATCCTCTTTATCTTCTCCCCATTTTCCTTAAGTGCCATCAATGTCTACATTTTTCTACTCCTAATACATCAACTTGCCACTCACCAGCACTATCTTCCTTCTCTTGCTTTTCCTGTGGGGTTGTTCATTCCTTCATGCACAGCATCTCTGTGGAAGGTCAGTTTGTGGACAGCATAGTGCTAGGTCTTGAAGATACAACAGTAAACAAGCTGATGTGGTTCCTGCCTTGTGGAACTTGCAATCTAGCCAAGAACTAAGATGTTGGGCCACATGCTGTTATTCTTATGAGAGAGAAGTATAGGATGCTCAAATCTTTGGGGCTCAAGGAAATTCTTCTTTGAGAAGCTACAGTTTAAGTTACAACCTGATGGATAAATATGACTTAACAGCTGTTTGGGATTGGATTAAGGGTAAGGAAAGAGAATAGCATATGTGGAAGCCTTGATGTGAAAAAGACATTTAAAGCTTTCCATGTTAGTTAACTTTATGTCACTATGACCAAATAGCAGAGGAAAACAACTTAAAAGAGGAAATCTTTATTTTGCTCATGGTTTCACAGGATTCAGTTAATTATGGCAAGGATAGTGTGGTGAATCAGAGCTGTTCAACTCATGACAGCTAGGAAGCAGAGAAAGGGAATACATGAAGGGGCCAAATATAGTCCCCAGGGACATGCCCGCAATGACTAACTTCCTCAACTGGGCCCCACCTCCTATCCTTTACCACGTCCCAATAATACCATCTATGATGACTCCAACAAGATGTTAATTCACCCAAGAGATCAGAGCCCTCAAGATCCAATCACTTTCCAAAAGCCCATCAGCTGCCTACCAAGCCCCCAAAATATGAGTCTGTGGGGACATTTCATATTAAACCATAACAAGGGCAATGACACCAGTCCAATGTACATGAAATGTGAGAAAAGAGTAGAGGGTGACCTGAGATGAGTCTAAGAAGGTCAGTGCAGTCAGATTGCACTTTGCCTCAAGCCATCCCAACTTGTCTTCGGTCTGCATATCTGAAACTCATTTCTCCTCTTGGGCAAGGAATTCTCCAAGTCAGTGCCCCATTCTTGTATCCAGCTCACCTAATACCATATGTATAGTTTCCAGAGGATAGAGAACCTTTCTCAAGATTCAGTCATAGACATACCCCCAACCCATTCCTTTACCTCTATAAAAAATTTTAATGGCTCAGAATCTCCTTTTTCGAGAAACACTAAAACCTTAAAACAAAAGGGAATGGAAGCACTGATGTTCTTGGAAGATAGGCTCCAAGGGACCTGTCCAGAGTTGAGATGAAGGGTAGAGGGTAAGTGTGTACTGGTGCTGCTGAGTTATATGAATGGGTGTTTAGGGCAATGGCTGTGCACCGTGAGTCTTCTTTCTCTGTTCTTCCAAGGACTTATTCTGGAACCCTGCCCCATCCTGTCACCTTGAGGAAAGCCCTCTTCACATCCTTGTTCCGGAGACTGTAGATGACAGGGTTAAGAAAAGCAGAGATGACATTGTAGAACAAGGCCAGCTTCTTGTCCTCTTCTGGGGAGGCCTTATAGCCAGGCTTCATGTACATGACCATGGCTGGCACACAGAACATAGCGACCACAGTGATATGGGAGGCACAAGTAGAGAAGGCTTTCATCTGCCCCTGTGCTGAATGGATCTTCAAGATGGCAGTGAAGATGTTAACATAAATGATAAGGATAAGGGACAGTGGGATCAGTATGACACTAAAACCAAGAATGAAGTCTACCCGGTCATTGATTGAAGTGTCTGCACAAGCCAGCTTTAAGACAGCAGGGACTTCACAGAAGAAGTGGTTGATCTTATTTGGCCCACAATAGGGCAGGCGCATAGCAAAGATGGTGTAGACAAGAGCAGAGGTGACACCCCATAGGCCACAGAAGGTGACCATTACCCCACATAGCCATGGGCTCATGATGACCTTGTACCTAAGTGGGTGGCAGATGGCGATATATCTGTCTATAGACATGATGGCAAACAGCCAGGATTCAGTGACACCTAGCACCAAGAAAATGTACATTTGAGACACACAGTTGGAAAAAGAGATGCTCTTCTTCGGGCTGACCAGATGTGCTAATATCTGGGGTACAATTGTGGTGGTATAGCCTAGGTCCAATATGGAAAGGATACCAATAAAGAAGTACATGGGAGTGTGGAGATGTGAGTCCAGACAGATGAGGATGGTGATCAAGCCATTGCCCAGAATAATCAACAGGTAGAGCATCAGAAAGGCTGAGAAGAGCAGAGGCATGGTCTTGGGGACCAGGGAGAAGCCCAGAAGGATGAATTCTGTCACAAAGCTCTGGTTGGGCTCTTGCATTGTGTTCTACATCTCAATGAAAAAAGAAAGGCATCAATTCAGACAGGGTACCAACTAAGGTATGCACTAGAGCTGAGGTTACTGATGGAATTGGGTAGTGGTCAATGACCTCCTCTGTAAGAAAACCCATTCTATCTGCTCTTGCCCCCTGGTAATACAAGAAATTTATGAAGAGGGGAACTTCACATCTAGTACTGGCTTTGCATGTAAACCACCAATAGTTCCCAATCTCAACCTCAGTTTCCTCCACTGTGAAATAAAAACGTTGGGCAGACTGATTCCTAATTCCCTTAGCATCCTCTTCTTAATAAGGCATTTAAATTTCTTCTATGCACCCATGTGTTTAGAGATAAATACTGATGTACAGACCCTACACAAGATGGCAAATTCCACATGCCTGAGACAGGCATTTGGTCCTTTCAGAAACATCAACTTATTTTTCCACTTTAATTTTACCTTCTGTCCATAGGCCGGGATGGCTCTCCAACTACCTACCCACTCACCCCACCTCAGGCTGCAGTATATTGGAATGAACACTGATTTCTTACTCCTTAATATATATTTTCCCTAGCAAGTCATTTACCCTTTCTCCCAACACTTTGAGACTCTGTCTACAAGTACAAAATGGGAATAAATATGTCCTTGTGTATCAGTTTGCTGCAAGTATCGAATAATATCTTGGCATGAAAATTATTACACAGAAGGTAGGTCTAAAATGTTGTAGGTGCTCAGTAAATTCTAATTGCATTTCTGAATGGTTTTCTGTACACAGACTGGAATTCATGTTCAAGTGACAAGTCATCCTTGATGCCCACAGTCAATTACCACCCTTCCAGGTATCTACTCTGGGTTTTTTCTCCCTACAAAAGCCAGCATCCCATTTTCTCTTTTAGCTTCTTACTGGCTCTGCTTAAGCTTAAACTTCCTGAGCCTTAGTTTCTTCCCTGGAGTGGGAAAGGACAGCTACTCTGAAGAGATATTATTTGCCTTGTGGTACTTAGGAATGGAGCAGTTTTGGTGCTGTCAGTGTTACTCCTTCTCCTGGCACGAATTTATCTGAACCCAACCTTCTTGTTCTCCTTCTGAGCACCTAGAATGACTCTTCATAAGAATCTGTGTCTATTCAATACATGAGGTGTTTTCTTGACTTTGGCCAACAGGATTTTATGCTATTTAAACCTCCAATGTGCTAAGCACTCTTCTAGGACCTTTACAGACTTTATCCAATAGTTGTCAGGTACCTGGAAGACAGCTGTTTTTTCAAAAATTAAATCCCTATTGTTCATCAAAGAGCCTTTGTAGGCCACATTGTCCCTCTAGGTTGGCTTCAGCTTTTCCTTCTGCTCAAAGGACAATGGTGCTTAAGTCAGGCAGAGTTAAAGGGAGAGAAATCATATGGCAGAGTGGGAAGGGCATGTTAAAGGCAGCTGGCTCTGCTTGAATCCTGGCTCTGACTTTTCTGTCATGTGACGTTTCTAGGCCTCAGTTCCCTCAGTTGTAAAATAGCAATAAAAATATCTTCTTTGCAAGCTACATTCTTGCAGTCCAAGGATATCAGAATATTTTGCTTTGGAGGCTAGAGCAGGAAAACATGCTGTCACTTCTCACTTTTCATTTTTTACACAAAGTCAGTGAGTGGGAATTTTCCTGAAGGATCAGATATTTAGGAATGTTTCACCTGGCTGAACTGTGAGGACAGACTGTGATCAGTGGGGACAGCTGTCTATAAACCAGCCAAGTGAGCCCAGGGCTGTCATTCCACAGGGAGGACTTTGGGACAGAGACTCAGGCTCCCTGAGCCCCGGAGTACCTAAAGGTATGTAAAGTACTTGGGAAAAAAACTGCCTGACTCTAAGGCATGGGAAGCAGAAACCACACAGGAGGAAGAACAAAAAGCAGCATCATTCTCTCCCAAGATGGAGCTGGCCTTTGAGTATTTGTTTGAACAAAAAATGTAGCTTTTGGACTGTGCCTTACTTACAAAAGCCTTGACATTCATTCTCTTTGAGCCTCATAGTGTCTCTGTGAGAATCATGGAGTAAGTCTCATTGGGTTTCCAATGTGTGGCAAAACCATAACTAACCAGAACTCGACTTACTGATAGAGCCCTAACTTATTGAAATGTTTCCTGTCCTTGAGTTTTAGGAGGGGGGAGGCAAATCATGAGGGCAAAGACTCTTGTGTTGGGTTTAGTTTAATTATATGTATATACACATATGAATAAACACGTGTGCACACACACAGAAATTGACACCTGTAAGATCAATTCAATCAGACCAGTCTTGGGTAGACTTAGGAAGGTCACTCAGTTCCTGTCTTATGACTTATATACCATCTGTATTCAGGTCCCATTGCTGCCACCTCCAGAGTGCCTCTTTCACCCATCTATCCCTCATCCCTCTTCAATCCCACTACCAAAGTCCAGTTCGGCTCAGACACTCAGCATCTCTCTCTCTCTCTCTCTCTCTCCTGCTCTCAGTCCTTCCATTGGACCCCTGTGCAGCATATCTCTGCACTAGTCTTCAGACCACTCTAAAACAAAAATCTCCCTGTGCCATTTTCTCATGACTCCTTTGTCTACAGGGAAAAGTCTAAGAGGGTTAGACCAACTCCCTGGCCTCGCTCTCAGTTTTGGCCCCCACATTCTGAGGCAGGTTGGTGGGCTCCACCCTTTATAGAGATCTTCAGTGGCTGAGAAAGACCCTGCAGTTCAGGAATCCACATCCAGAGAGGAGCCATGGAAACTGACTTTCAGCTGGTGCAGAGTTGAGAATAGGACCCAGACCTCTTGGCTGCAGGTTGGTCAACTCCTTGGTCTCTGTCCTAGCTCAAGGCAAACCCAAACTAACTTGGAAACTCTGCAGGTCAGACACAGCTGAGCAGCTCAGCTCCACTGTGCTTGACTTTGTTTTCCTCGAATCTCCTTAATACATAGCCTGGCACATTGAAACCGAAAAAAACCTTATCAAGTGATCTACATAACAGGAGACACTGGGAAGTCAGAAAAAAAAAAAGAAAAGGAATGTCTACATTTTCTTTATAGTTTTCCTTCCTGTTTCCCAGGGGTCAAAAAACCCCCATTTGTGCTGGAGGTCATGAACACCTCAGAAGAAACCAGGGAATAAGTTCATGGAAGGAGGATCGGGATAATTGGTACTAGATATTAGGAATCTTTCTGCCATTTCTCTCAACTGCTGCCCAACCAATAAATAGTAGTAATTCTAATTATAGTAGTTTCTTATGTGCCAGGCACTATATCATGTGCTTTACATTCACTATTTTATTTCAGCCCCACAATTAGGGTAATAGCTGAAAGATTTGGCAAAGAATTTGAGTACCTTCTGATTAGAACCAACACCTGCAACAGGAAACAGGTAAAGCTGTACTAACATGCCTGCAAGCTGGACAGGAGCCCCAGGAGGTAGCCATTATGACTATATCCATTTTAAAGATGAGGAAAGAGGCACTACACCTTGCAATAGCTGTGGCAGATGTTGTACTCCTAACCATGAGGCAGTGTCAGTAGAAAGAATGTGGTTGGCTGAACTGCTTGAAAACTGGTCCCTTCTTGCTCTGCATCACTTTCTCACTCACTTGCTGGCTCATCACTGTCTCCTCCAGAGTAGAAGCCAAATGAAAAGGGGCAGGAGGGACAGAAAGTATGGCCCAAACAGCAAGACAAGTGAGGATGGGGCAGGCAGCAGGGTTGTACTTGAAAGATCTTATCACTGAATCTGCAAGCACATCATACAACACCTGCACCCTATTAATTACATTCATTGCCACGTCCCTCACTGTTATTTAGAGTACATGAATTATTTTCTTTGCATTACTAAGGCAATCTGATTCTCATCCTCAACCAATATTAATGAAAATAGGCCTCTGCTAATCAAGTCAAATGCCTGATATTAGGTAGTGTATTTACCAGATTCTTAGTCTCCAACAATATTACCCCCATAATATCCTTTAACTTACTATATCACCTTACCCAAAACTCACAACCTTCCTGAGTGCTTCAGACAGGAGCTGCCTTCAGAGGAAGATGCAGTTCCAGTTCCTCGATTATGGTCTTGCCTCTTAACCCTGCTAAGGAAGGCAGTCCCGGTCCTCTACAGAACCTCTGTACTTGGGAGGGGTCTGGTCTGAGGTGGATAGGGCAGGCCAGGAGTCCAGAGCCAGCACACTGTAGGTCCTGCTTTCATCTGTTCTGGCTTTTAGTCATCTCCCTGAACTGCCAGTTCCTCCTCCCAGGAACAGATCTACTCCAGACATCTTCAGAGATTCACTAAACTTTGGACTGGATGTGATCTTGGAAATCCAGCCCTTACTAGGGCATCTGTCTTTTTTGCATCCTTGTTGCCAAAAGGATGCTCAAATACTCCCAGGGCCAGGAGGCTCACTCTTTTCTCAAGGCAGTTTGGTTGCTGTGACTCTGTCCTTCATAAGTTCTATACCGAGCTAAGAGCAGGTACTGGTCCCTTCTGACCGGGGAGTTCTCTAAAGTGCCTCACTCCCCCATATTTTGGCTCTCTACACTTCCAACTCCAACACCACTCACCCTTCTCTCCTTGAGAATTGTCAACTGAATTATAATACAGTAGCCCTTACCTTTCTTTAGAAATCTCTGTGGAACTGTCTGGGTCTCTTCTGTCTTTCATAAATCCTTCTTGTCCTTGGCTTCCATCCATCATCTGTAATGCCAGATGGCAGCCCCAGCAGACTTCTCCTGCCAGCCACAGGGACCTTTTACTTGGCACCTAAGGGCTACCAGGAATAACCTCTAGGGAAGCAACTGCTACGGCAAAAGAGCCTAGAGTTTTTAGTAACACAGACTTGGTCACTGTGACGTAGGCAAGTCATGTAGCTTTCCACAGCCCCTGTTTCCTCTATAAATTGGAGCTGTGTTCCCTATATCATAATCATACCTGCAATTTTTTGAGTAGTCATTATAGACCAAGAATTTGGTCTATAATCCTTGCAGCATTATTACCCCCATTTTA